ATGGCTCCAGAAAGATCAGCTCTTCCAGTGTCCACAGAACACAGACATATAACTCTTTTATTACCAACCTGGTAACAACAATGTGGGGTTGGTGTGGGGGTGGGCGGATCCTGGACACGTTTTGCAACTTGCAGAGCAGTTTGGGGAAATTCAGCTGGAAATATCCAGACTGCTCTACACTGATGCACAGTGTGCCTCATCAAGCACTTTAGTGGAATAAAGATGAGCTCAACTTAACAGCAGTGACTAGAACCTGAAATAAGGGTTTGGCCCTCCATCTGACCATACATTTCAGGTCAAACATGAACTACGCTTTGCAGCCAGTTAGCCAAGTGGAAAATTGGAAAATCTGAGCTACACTGAGTCATTAGCTAAATCAAATATGAAAAAAAAGCCACATCTCCCCAGAGAGTTACCTCTGAAGCCTAATCTCTGAGGCAAATTGAATGATTTCACTTCAGTGGCTTCCCAGAAATATGCTAACCTTATCACCGGTCATGCAGGCAGACAAAACTGACCATCTTCAGCAAGTTCAAATGCTCACTTCTTTTTTTTCAATCTGTAAAAGCCTCAAACTATTTTCCCGTCATTTCTTTTCCATTTCATGCCTACACTTCACTCCACTTTCACTTTTGGTCCTTTCTCTCTAACTCATTCTACTTCTGCAAACTCTGTAACTAATTAGCTCTGGCATGGCCTGTAATGACTTTACACTCTATGGGGAGCAAAGATGGAGGGAGGAAAAGAATCACCTTTTGCCTATTTAGGCATCAGTCTAAGGGCTGCGTGCCAACATGCAGCTGCTGCCTGCAACCACTGAACAATAAGAGCACAAATCTACAGCATCTTCCTGTCCTGAGGTTTCATACAGCTTCATATATATTTCATATATTACAACATAAAGACCCTATAACAGTTCTTGGCCAACCTGCTCTCTAAGGGCATGACAAAAACATGAGGCATTCGTCACTGTTTAGCTGACAGAAATGATCTGATGGTGAACAAAACGGATTGTTAGACATTTTGTACACAGCATCTTTAATGACTGCCCTGATGGAGATTTGTATTTACTGCATTAATTTTGTCTGTCACAACTTCTTATATAAATTGAGAAATCCAAGATTATTTGTAACCACATCAATTGTGTTTTTCTAGATATAGAGAAAGCATATGATTTGATGCAGGGAGAATAACTGCAAATTTGTAGGAGAAAGACTGAACTGGTAAAGAAGTATGTAAGAGTGCTGCAGGACATGTAAGAGAGTGGTTAGTGTACGGCTCATAAAGGATTGCCTCTTAGCTAATTCTTGTTTACTATGGTGATAAACAGATTGAAGGATTACAGTGTTTGCAGATGACACTGTGATCTGTAATGGAAGCAGGGAGGTGAAGGAAAGTCTAGAAAGATGGAGGATTGGTCTAAAAAAAGGAGAGGAATGGTTAGTATATAAGTGAGTGAATGAGAAGGACCAAGATGGAGCTACGAGGCTATATGAAGCAGAGATACAGAAGATATAGAGTTTTTATCACTGAAGTTCAACAATCTAGAGCAGTGGTCTCCAACTGCAGTCCGGGAGGCCTGGGCTGCGTCCAAACGACCGCCTTAACCATTATATAGGGCACTATACAGTATACTGGTTATGCCATTTTAAATTAGTGTCCAAACGTCTAGTGGATGAAAAAGTAGTGAACTCGAAATTTCCAACAATGCACCTTGAAAAGTAGGGATCATCCGTGGTCTCCAGAGGAGTAGAAATATCCCAGATTGCTTTGCGAGTGATGTACAAGAACAAACATGAGAAATAACAAATATGGTACAGGCACCGTGCGAGGAGGCAGAGTTACGTGAGCAACAGGGAGCGAAAAGGGGTTCGCATCTGTTAAGTGAGTTCACTATAAAGTCCACCATATAGTCCCCGCTCTGTAAAGTGAGTGAGGGATTTAGGGGCAAGGGCGGACATTCAGGCCATGGTGTTTTACAGCTTTTAGATGCATCTCTGTTCCAATCACCCTGTCTCCACTATTACCTCATTTACAAAGCCAGTAAGGTAAACTAGACATTCAATGCAGGCATTTATGGCAATGACATCTGAGGGGGTGAAGGGGTGAGGAAACGTGCCAGGGAAGGTTGGAACAGATGGAGTAGCATTAGATGTGACTAAAGGGGGAGTGGAGGCCTAGTGGTTAGGGCATAGAGCTTGGAATCCAGAGGTTCTGAGTTCCCACAGACTGCCACTCTGGGTCTCTCTGCAAAAGACCCTTAACCCCACACTGCTCCCCGGGTACTGAACATTGGCAGCTCACTGCTCCCCAAAGGGATGGGTTAAATGCAGAGAGTTCATTTCGTTGCTCTGTACTTGTGACACTGTAAGGACTATAAAAAAAAAGGTGGAAAAAAATATATACAGTTTAATGAAGATGTAGAAAATGAGACCAGCAGTGATTGGTTTAGACGTGGTGGAAATGATGAAGGATATGTTTAGCTTCTTCTAGGGTGTGATAATAATGGAAAGGAGTACATCCGAGGAGTTTCACACTTACAACCTGACCCAGTATCTTCCCAGTAGTTTACTGGGTCAGGGCTAAGTGTGAATAAAGCCAGAACCGATTTACTGTTTAAAACTGACCCACTAATTTATCAGGAGCACTCTGGTGTGAACAAAGCTGTTACATTACAGGGTAAGCCATTTGTGAGTTTATGTGAAATGTTTGTAGTGACATGTTGCCTAGCAACAGTCTTGATTCCAGGTATACGTTGTTAAATTCTGCAACAAAAGCATTACTGACAAAGAGGCTAGCAACATTTTCTCAAGCACTTTATCAAACAAGCAGACAAGTTCTTAATGATGGCTGGAAATCTGGTCAGACCTGGAAATAACAGATCTCCTCTCTGACGGAGCAGAGAGTGGAAGAGAATCAGCCACATCCTCCCCTGATCTCTGCCAGTCTGTGAAATCCACCTAAGTTGGATCTTTTTTCAGTAGTTTTCTTAACGTCACTGTAAGGACCACTGGTCCATGTGTTTATGGTGCTAATTCTTGTTCTGGAATATTGGTCCCACTAAATAACATTTATGTGTGAAAGGAGCTCTAGAGGAGAGGCCAAGCTGATGCACAGATGCTCGATTGCATAGGAAGAAGGATCCTGAGACTGGAGCCTCCAGGCAGGAGGTAAAGAAGAAGACCAGGGAGGAGATTTATGGATGAAGTTAAAGGGGACATGAAGGTACTTGTGTGAAAGAAGAAGATGCAGAAGATAGAGTTAAAGGGAAAAAAAAGAGTGGCGATCTTTCAAAAGGAGAAGCCGAAAGTAGAAGAAGAAATAGATCACTGGTGCCTCACTTACTGACAGAGAAAAATGCTCTAAAAAACAGTAAAAACAGAAGTGTTTGTATTTTAGTTTTGATCTTAGATTTATTCATCATACCTTCATAATCTTCCGAGAATATGACATCAGATATATCTCTTTACTGCTCTTTAAAATGGGAAAGACAAGATCTCACTCAGCTGTTCATTGGTCAGGTATTTTGAATTTGATTGTTTTCAATCTGGTTATGTTTGGAATGATTTGGGGAACAAAGCAATTAAACCTGTCTGTCTCGTAAATTTGCCTCAGATGTCATTTGTTATGAATAATGTGAAACAAACTGAGTGAAACGGCTGAACATAACGAGCTACTGCCCAAACCTAAAGTCAGAACAATCTTTAAAATGCTTCAAACACTGAGACAAAAAAAGACTTGAATCAAGTCTATGGTGTTACCACGCACTGAGCGAGAGGCGAGGTAAGGAAATCAAACTGAAGCTTCCCATGTCAGTCTAATGAGATGGCAGTAAAACAAAAACTTACATTTCAATGGTCCAGTTTTCAGAGACGTTTTTCTGAGTCTTTCACACAAACACATGAAACGTCTCTTAACATCTTTTTAGTTTTATTTAAGATCAGAAACCTTTTTCTGGGTTTGAGTTGTTTACAAACTAGGTTGACTTATAACAACCTAGGCTTGGTTAACCCACCCATATGACATCTGAACCCCTTTTTTGACTAACTTTAAATGTTTCTGGGAGCATGTTATTTACACAGCAGAATACATAATCTTTTCTGAGTTCTTTTCAGTCATGATTTGTTCAGGCAGACAGTAAAAATGTTACAGCCACAACTCAGTCAGAGCTCAAATACTGTCAGCTCCGTTCTGATATGAATAATTAATAACCTGGCAGAAAGGCCTTTTAGTCGCAGTCAAATCAATGAATTATTGAACAATTTAACAGATCCAACTGAGGACAGATTTATTTCCAACAAATATTAGGTCGGGCACAGCAGCAGGTATTTGAAGAAAAATGATTGTTTTCTGTGATGAATTCAAAATTTAATGTTTACATAATAAAAGCTTAGTAACTAAGCATGTTTTCAGTCAGCCTTCTTTTGAAGGTTTTTTTTGTGACCTCTATTGGCTTTCCCGGTGACGACCCCCCCATCCTAACACATGGTTTTAAAACCATAAGTTGAATTCTTACAAGATTTTAAGAAAATCTCTTATAATAGATTGCTTTTATTCATGCTGGTTTGAACATTTCTTTTTTTCTATTAATATGCAATTTTTTTCTTATTCAGAGATTTATTTCCTTCCAACCGTTGGTCCAGCAGTGAGCTTGCGGTCCCTGCAGACCTCATGATCTGTGGCCCTTTGCTGAGAGAGAACACACAATCCAGTTAATGAAGCTGGAAAATGAACAGGTGCAGCAGACATTGCAGCCTGCTGCCTCCTATCAAGTCAACGCTGTGGAGCTCCAGTCTCATTTCAACATGAACTGGAGTTAAGTGACTGCCTCAGACCTCTGAAACCAAACTAATTTATCTGTCAATTTAAATTAAGAAGTTAGAATTTGGTTTTTAGGAAGAGTCTCTTTCATCAGTATGATTTTTAAATAAAATCACCCTTATTTTTCTTAAACACAACCTTTTTAGAGGAAATGTCAGCTTTTTTTTTTTTTTTTTTACCTCTTCTTCTCTGTTTCATATCTGCTTAGAAGACGCTGGAGGCCTCCACACTTGAAGCCCTGGAAGTGGGCAGCAGGAGCACCCACGGTGATAATGTCGTACAAAGCATCTGGAAAGGGAAAACAAACAAACAAACGTTTAGTTTGCTGTACATAAGATGGGACACAGAGAACTGAACTGCAAGAGGGGCCAGAATAGGGGTCTGCAGCCTAGGACTCTTTGGCCCCTTAAGTGGCTCCAACTAAGCCGGGTAAGAAATGATTTTATCAATGAAGGCAGCAAGAAAGAGCAACAGTACAGGCTAAAGAATTTACTTAAAATTTTTTTTAGCTTTAAGAGTTTTTATAATTTAAGGCAGATTAAACATCCTTTATCCTTCATATTTATGGTGGCTCATTCTACAAAATAAAAGCCTTGTTTCCATAATATCCCCTTGTAGAGGGGAAATTATCATTTTTCATTTAAATCACGATAATTGAAAACCTTTCTTTAATTTTTCCAGCTTTTTAATATCAAATTTTTTTTTTTTTTTTTTTTTACTGTGGCTCTTCTTTTGCAGCCATGATGGTAAAGTGACTCTTTGAATTAAAAGGGTTTGGTTTAATGTCTAATCTACTAAACAATGGAAATGTGATGAAGAAACAACATCTTAACAGGTTAAAGATATTCAGACACAGACGTGAACACAGTTAAATATACTCATTTTATGGTGGAAAGTAAGAATCAAACAACATTTTACCAGTAAAGCTATACTTGTGACTTTTTTTTACAGCAGATGTAGATTAGATCCAAAATGACCCCGATATAATAAAAGGAAAGTTAAGGACCTTAAGTCATGTGTTGTAAAGTGGAAAACTGAAGCCGATAATAAATAATAAATAATGAACCTCATTAAAAACTCTTAAACACTGGAGGCAGCTTTGCCTGGGGCCTTTTAAATAACAGAGTTCAATAGCTCTTAGCTACTGCTTCTTCAATCATCCAATACTTCCTTTGTCGTTCCACTTCATTTATGAGCAAATTTGGGTTGATTTCTTTGTAAATGTGAATTAGCTGAGTAGCTGCCAACATCAGGTGTGAATTAAACATTTGAAGCCCCGTTAGAAAAGTTGTTTCTCGATAAAACAATGATCTCTTTTCTCAAACTGTAAATTTCACTAAAATGGCCCCGGTGCTTTTGTAGGTTGATTGGTCCCATGTGAGGGCAGAAGGACAGCCATTGTCACAGTGCTTCACTCCAATCAGCCTCAAAATGAAACAAACACTTCACAGGCAGCCAGGCACAGAGCACGTCTTGTTTGAATTATAATGACTGAAGATGGCATTTAAACCAGAAGGAAAAAAATCATAGTACGGGGTTTGGTTTCTCCTCCAGAAACTCTCATATTGAGATTCATTCCGAGGGACCCCCAATGAGAAGAAGGTAACTCTAGAAAAAAGGTCCAGTGGGAAGAAGGCCTTCCTAGATTGACATATGAAAACTGGCAAGCTGAGGAAGATAAACTAACAACTAATCAACTGTTAATATGAACAGATAAAAACTTTTTGATAGTTTTCTTTGAAAACAAAAAAAAACACCAAAGACCTGATACAGAACCAGAGATGCATCATCTTTCTGTTTATCCTCTGAAAGCTTTTCAGGTAACTACAGCCCACAGCAAAAACAAACTAAAAAAAACAGTCAACATTTCTTAAATTAAGTGTATTTACCTTGAAATGGAGTAGATAAATAAGATAGCTTGCCAATGGAATGAGTATATTTACTTAATTATAATTAGATGAAATGCACTTTAGACAAGATAAAGCAATATTTTTTTTTCTTACTTTGAATGTAAATTATCTTGTTTCATTGGCAAAATGTCTCACTTGCCTCCTCAATTCAAGAACAAATGTACTTATTTTAGGAAGAAATTACTTATTTAAATGGTAACTGGCCTGTACTTATATAGCACTTTTTGAAGCCTGAAGACTTGACCAAAGCGTTTTACACTACATTCAGTCATTCACCCATTCCCACACAGTAGCAAACTTCATTGTAGCCACAGCTGCCCTGGGGCTCACTGACTGGAATGCAGGTGAAGTGTCTTGCCCAAGGAAACAACGACCCTGAAAGCTGGAGCCGGGGCTTGAACCGAAAACCCTCTGATTGCATGGCAAACTCCTGCACCCGACGCCACTGTCGCCCATTTAGATTTCCATTTTTTGAAGTGCACTGTTTAAAAGTCACATTACTGTTGAACAACCATGTTTTCTGTCATATTTCTTTTAGCTTTCATTGAGTCTGAAGCAAACTGTTTGGATTAGTTTGTGCTCTAATGAAGTCCTGTAGGTTTCTACCCTGTAATGATGGCCAGATTAAAGGTTCTCTGGATTCAGCACAGCGTCTTCCTTTCCTTTTCATGGTAGAGTTCTAACTGTTCATCTTATGACAGGCAAACGAATTAGGAGCTGGTTTGAGTTTTCTGCCCTTGAATCACTCCAATCATGAGTACTATTCAAGTTAGGAGGTCAGATCCAACAATACATTCGACCTCAACCGTTTACTCAGAAAGATGAAATGGGGGGTGTCTCCTTGGGTGCTTGTCCTCCTTCCTCCCTCACATCGATTTCCGTAACACTGCTTTTTAAATAAAGGCCGAATAAAATCAGAATTAGGGGGGGTATCTCAGCTAGTGTTTGTCTGCAGCTAACTACTTATTTCACAGTAATTGACAGAGTAACCTTAATTTTTTTATGAACCCAAACCAGTTCTGCTACAGCAGCACAAGGGAAAATGTTTAGAGACGATCAGACCAATCACAGATGGATCCTCTGTTCTTTCTTTATTTTTTTATTTTTACCATTTCTCTTTTAATCAACACAAAAACAAGGAGTTAAAGGAGTGAGAACACCAAGAAGATAATGTACAGAGAAAACTGATAGAAATGAGTAATTATAATTCACACACAGCAATCTGCGAACAAGAAAACATTCTGCTGAACAATGTCTTTATCTCAGCTCTTAGACTGATGTGTTTAGAAATATTTTACAGCTGTGAAAATCTATTCACAGCGAAACAAATTAATTCTCTGCAGAGGCTGCAGTGTTATTATTTGATTCTGATTTCCTTTCTCTCTCTGATGAAAAGACAAAGTGAAAGAAAATGACTCAGCCCAATATGTAGATTATATGACACACCCGAAAGAAATGTGTCATCATAATACTGTATATAGAAACAAATGCAAAGTACTCAATGCAGCCAAGGTATACTGTATGTGCAGTGAAGCCTTTATTTAGCCAAATTACACAGAACTTCTAAAACATACAGAAACATTCAGGTTCTGCTGAAAACATCTGTATCAAGGATGATTTTTTACCTTCCTCATTCAGAAGCAGATATTTCACAAGATAGCTCGGATGTGTCGCTTTTAATTTGAAGTGGACGTGGCTTACGTACTGACATGTTTGTTCAGTTCCGGTGAGTTTTTTTCTGTCCCCATCTTCCTTTGTTATTTCATAAAATTCTGCCAGGTGCTTTGCAAAACTGGCATCAAAAATATCAGTAGATTAGTCTGAATTGTGCAGAAAAGTACTAGTAGTAGACATGCTGGTCTGTCATGCTGTTTACCGTAATAAATGCTGTAAAAACCGACGTAATCCAATAAAAAGTGTCATTATTAGTTGAAAGTAGTGTTGCGCCGATGCCATTTTTTGGCCCCGATACCGATACCCGATACCTGGCTGTGCGGTATCGGCCGATACCGATACCATAATAATGTAAAATAATTGCCATCATGGCTTTGTCAAGCTGCTGCCTACCTTTGTGAAGCAGGAAAAATCTAATACAAAGTGAATCCAGTAGAACTTTTTATTGTCTACCAGGAATGGGTGACAATAGTTGAGTAAACTTATGGGTCCGATACTGGTATCGGTATCGGTGCAACACTAGTTGAAAGTGAACATGAACTGTGTGTTGCTCATTATTCTCAAAGTGAACGTTGATCTCGTTTATTATTTCAGTTCACCGTTCACTAAAAATATGAATGTATTCGGTGAACGCCTTCATGCACAACACTGTTAGCAGCTGTGCCCGTTTCATTTTAACGTTACTGAACCATAAACTCTGAATTTGAGATGAGACACATGAGATCTCCAGGGATTCAGGAATTTTTCTGGGTAACCCCTCAGATGAACAAGTGAGGAAGTTTTAGAGTAATTCTGGTGGAAATGTTCACCATTGTGTAATATTTTCTCCATTCATGGTAAATGCCTCTAAGTGATTTGATGGGGTCCAAAAATCTCATTTATAACCATTTCTGAACTGGTAACACTCTCTCCCATCTGTTCTTGACTTGCTTCAGATTCTGTTATGTCTGAGATCATATCCATCCGTACCGTGTAAATAGCAATAAATAACAAGAGCGAGGCGGGCCATCGAGCTGTCAAAGAAGGAAGGGTCAATAAAGAGACAGAAAATCTGCACAAGCTCAACAAAATGAACAACAAAAATGATCAACAAAATAGTGAAAACAAACAGGAACTAAGAGCGACAGGAAAAAAAAAACTAATATCCAAAATATCATGGTGGCTTTAAGGCCATGGGTAAAAAAGTATGATTTGATGACAGTAAGAGAAGAAGTCTAGGAAGAAAGGCTGAGCAAAGTTTTACTAAATTTAACATCTTTAAAACCTCTAACAGTATCTGAGCTTTACAGATCTAGAGGAACTAGATGGAACAGTTGGGTGCTGCAGCTCAGAGAAAGAAGCTGGACCAAGATAACTGATGAGAAACAAATCAGAGAATAATGAAATAAACAAATAATTGCTGGAAGCCAGTGAAGCTAAAATCTGATGAAGGTACTGATGTTTCCTGGTAAAAGTTAGAAGCTAAGTGATAACCTTTTCACCAGTTTGAAATCAGGGATCTTAGTCTGACTAATTTCAAAACACTAAATATTGTGATATATAAGGTAATATCAGCATATTTTACTGTCTCCAGAACATGTCCAATATTTGACATTCAGTGACATGCTGTGACTTCACTGTTGGTTGTTCCTGTCAGCTTCCTTTCTCAGACCCAGAATTATAATGAGATTTTCAGCATATGGGACAAAAGATCTGAAGAGGAGATACTGGAGCTATTAAGCCTTAACTATATGATTTTTTTTAGGATCTCCTTTTTAAAGTATAGGAAATGTATTCATGAGACCGTCACAGAGAGGCTGGACACAATATCCTCTGTGCTTTACAGAAAAAATAGAATATCAGTCATCAGCATATAAATGAAAAAGAGGAGAATTATTAACCTACTTCATGATGTCAGACTGGTTCTTTAGAAGCCAATATTGGATTATATGATACCAAAGGTAATCAGGTGGGGGGATAGGGCTGCTTTAGGGTTTTTCTTTCTTCAAAACATGAAATATTTTGAAAAGATCTCTGTTCAGGTTATCACCTGGTACAAGAACTGATGTTCTGCATGTGTGTAGATGCTGTTACCAATAAATCAGCTCCTCTGATTATTGATTGACAACCAAACTGATGTTACAGAAGAAGATTCCAGTTAGACCAGTTCTTCTGGAATAAAGAACCATGGCAGGATGCTGTGGAAAAGTATTTGCCACCCTGAACATCAGAAACATCTGGGCTGGACTCATCCTCTCTTTCAGAAAAATGTCTGAATCTGTAATATAATATCCGTCCATCTTATGCGGGCTGGTTTCTATCTACAGGTGGGGTCCATGCTGGTCAGGCAACCAGTCCATCACAGAGATGAACAACTAAGGGCAATTTAGAGATGCCAATTCATGTTTTTGGACTGTAGGAGGAAGCTGGAGTACCCAGAGAGAAACCAACACATTCACAGAGAAAACATGCAAACCCCATGCAAACAAATAAATGCTACAGCAATCCCTATTCCTGTTAGGATAATACATTACGCATTAGTAGAGTATCCTTGCTTTAAAAGATGCTCTTCAGCTTTTTAACCTCTTAACAATCAGTTTAAATAATAGATAATCCCTTAATCATTTATAGTCTGCAGTTTCATAATAAAAAATCTGTTATTGGTTTTAGTATTCCATCCTAAATGTGCACTTGATCCTGAAGCGCTTTCTGCAGTTCGGAGAAACAGAAAACCCTGTGATGAGAGTCCATCCCTGGCTCAGCAGCAATCAGCTCCTAGGTTTGCTCTCACTAAGTAAAAAATGTTAAAATAATTGCATTTCTTCATCAGTAAATCAGAGATGGCTTATTTTCTTTTTTCCTCCAAGAGCAGCTTTGAGTCAAAACTGGGATGTTTCCTTCAAAAGAGGCAAAACTGCACCTGTCGATTTAAAAACAAGAACTGGAATGACACTGTCTAAGGAAAACAGGAGAGAGCATTTATTTTTCCTCAGCTTTCCCATTTTTCTGCTTTTCAAATTAAATTATATCAGCGAGGAATCAGGTGTGCTTTTTTCAGATTCAATTTTACATTTAAAAAGACTCAATTTAAACCAACTTAAAGATATAGAGGATTTTATTTTTTTGGTGGATCATCTAAATAAGTGGTCCTCCAAATTGTCAATCATTCTGGTAATATGTTTACGTAAGGCTGTCTTACGCGCTCGTCCCATTAGCTATATTTTTCTCCGCATGCAGACTTTCAGGCGTATACATCTGTGGTGAGCTATGGTTTCAGACAGTCATTGAAGCTCACATTTTTTCCGCGGTTCTTTGAAAATGGCAGAGGTCCGTACGAGAAAAAGTGTCTAAGAAGTGTATGCTCTCCTTGCAAAGCATTATGGGACTAATATCAAAGAAAAACTCCTTGCATAATTATAATAAAGACATTTATATGCATAAATCAAGCAGAACACTATGGCGATAGCCGTACTGCTCCACTTGTGAAACTTAAATCTGTTGGGCTCTTTTTGGCAGCAAGACAATTATTAAAAAATCTTCTTGCAACATAGCCAGACAGGACACTGTTTAAAAAAAAAAGAAATATATATATATATATATATATATATATATATATATATATATATATATATATATATATATATATATATATATATATATATATATATATATATATATATATATATATATATATATATATATATAATATCAAAGATAATGCATGCACTGCTCAACGGACCGACGGGAAAGTGATCATCTGTCGGTAAGTTGACTGAGTTCACTATAAAGTCCCCGGTCTATATAGTTATTGAGGGATTTGTGGGTCAGGGCGGACGTTTGGACACAGTAAGCTTTTGTGAGCTTTGAGAACAGCAACTTTTAATCAAAGCGTGCACGATGAGAAATTGGCTCATACATGCTCCCGCATGCACATTGTTTTTTTTTAATGTGGAGAGGGTGGGTCTCAAGAAAATCCTTCACAATACCTTTAAGACAAAATCAGTTTCATCTGTTAAAATTTAGAGCTAAATATATTATGATGGTCTACTTATTTTAACCTATCTACACCAAAAATAAGGCTTTTTTTAAATAGTTTTCCAAACAAATTAAAAGTAAAAAGAGAAACATGTCTTACAGTTAGGGAAATGATAGTCCTTCATTGTTTGACAAGAGATATGAAATAAATGATCACATTCCCCCTTTTCTTAAGAATCTTAGGTGAGCCAGAGAAGCGGTGGATGGAGTGGATAGAATTCGCTTCACACATCAGCGGAGCACCTCCACCGAAAGCCAGATATGAAGAAAATTGGGCCCAAAGAGGCTAATTATCCACGTGTCCATCGATCAGTGAACAAACGCCTTCAAGGTCGGTTTTGATGTGGTTTTAGTTATATTCTGCCTTGGCAGAGAAACCAAGACCTACATGATGATTTGATGAGGCTTAACTCATCCTTCATCCCTCAGGTACTTGATGGAAGAGTGACAGTTTAAACCTGTGTTTGTTTGCCCGTCTTTCCATCAATCATCCGTGTTTATAGCCGCTCCCCGCTGGAAGGGAAGCAGTTAATGCACAGAGACAGTTCCAGGCCAACAGCAGCCGGACGCACTCTCCTATTATTCCACTCTGCAAAAACGCAAAGGGCTTCATTAGTATTTCATCTGTTTTCTAGCCAAGCTAATTCTCACCTTTTAACCCGAGTGATGACCTGGAAACATTCCTGTGAGGTAAATCCACAACAGAGACAATAAAATGTGACGATGACAGCTGCTTTTCCATCAGACATAAAGGAGTGGAAAAGGCGACCAATCCTGTCACTGAAGCATCCGTCTGTCACATTCTTAAGTCAGCAGCAGTCATCTTAATCAAACGGTACCTGTTTTTTGGGGGCAGGTGACCCTCATCCTCTGAGTGTGCAGGTTTATTGGAATGAACTCCAGAGACTTCTGGGCTTTGCAGCAGCTCGGCTTGAACGACCCTGAACAAAGACAAAAGACAGCGTCTAAAATTAATGCTGGTAAACAGCAGCATTACCATATTCAGATAGACGGATGGCAAATGAAAATCTTATAATAATAATAATACAGATTTATTTCTTCTTAAAAGCACCAAAGTGTGTAATGGAAACAGTAGAAATATTTTTGGTTTAAAAGTTCAGAAGATAACCACAGGAAATTAATCTCAGAGAGATATGCTTACATGTCTGGGAAGTAAATAAACCGTCCCGTCCTAATCTATAAAATAACAACCAAACATTTTTATATTACAATGAGCATCTTGTGTTGGGTGCTGGAGAAATTCCACCTTTCTCCAGCAGAGTCCGCCGTGGATCCTCTGAGGGAGCCTCCTGCACAGCTGCAGCTCGTCAAGATCATCAGAGGATCCACTAATTAAGCTGTCTTCAGACCTTGCCTCAACGCCGCAGTGTTGTTCCAGTTGGTCAGCGCTTAAGCCTAGATCCTCAGAGTAATTCGATGACTTTTGAATCCAGCTTGGATTCTAACCCCTGTGTCTGTTTTCCAGGAAACCTGTGCCTCCTCTGTGAAAGCTCTGGAAGAGCTAACCTGCCGAGCCGACCCTCAGAGCCAAACCTGAAGATTCACAGAGAACCTCCAAGCAGCTCAGGACTAGAGCTGGGAAACCCAAAGCCAAGGTCTGTTCTAATTAGACGTGAGACGCTGAAGCAGCTAACGGACTCTGCTGATGAACTCTTCTCCAGAACCAACAGTGACTCTCCCAAAGCTAACCTCAAGAACCCTCAAGGTACAATCAGTAAACTTCAGAGAATCAAACCTCTGTCGACAACGCTAACTGAACTGTCTCTCACGCAGACTCCGGTGAATCAGAATCCAGGCCCTGAACCTGAACCATTATATCCTGTGTGCTTGTGCATAAATAAACTGTTAAACTTTCATCCTTGTGTCCGTCAGTGGTGTTCTGCATTCTTGGGTCGCTTTCAGTGAACCCATCATGACATCGTGATCCAACAAGGTGGAGTAATTACAGCCTGGGAGGAGGAACAGCACCAAAATTGTTTCTCCAAACTCACCCAAACCACAGAGAAAAGGTGATTTAATGAGATTTCTGCTCAATAAGCCAATCCTGTCAGAGCAATTTTCTGGGTGATATACGGCTTTTAATAAAGCAGTAAATTTGTGATGAGCACAGTGTGTAGAAGCTGTCTGCAGTACAATAATGACTTTTTCTTGAGTTTGCATGTTAGTGGAGATTAAACAACGACCTTTATCGTCTTTTTGAACAGAATAGATGCAGGTCAGCATCACAGCGCTGCTCATTCTGCTGATGTTGGAACAAACTGAGTTTATTGAAAGAAAAAGATGTTTTCATGAAAAGGCTATGTGTCATTTCTTTATAGTTATGGAAGTATATGCAATTAAGAACTCATTCAGTGATAATTACCAAAGCCTCAACCGTTCAAAGCACTATAAAAATATGAATTACTTTTAACGTCACTGTAGCATTATTTATTTGAAATGCTGAACAGTTCAGTTTAATACTCATATTACACATATTCTGGTTATGGAAACATCCCCTATATGAATTTGGATTTAGTTTTTACATATGCATAGATATACATACATATATATATACAGAAGCGCTATATGTGTATATATTTTATTTCTTTTTATTCTTATTTTCATCTTTATTATATTGTGTAGTTTGATGTGTGTGTGTGTATATATATATATATAACTGTAACTGGAGCGTGTAACAAAAGTAATTTCCCTCTGGGATTATTAAAGTATTTCTGATTCTGATATAGTGGGAACACACCCTGCGGTCACCTTTCTTATGCAGGGGAACCACAACCTCAGTCAGCCATTCGAGGGCCCTTTCCCAAAGCTTCATGCGATGTTGAGAAAGGCGTGACAGCCCGACAGCCCAACCCTTCCAGACCTCTAAGGTACTCAGGGTGGATCTCTTTCACCCCTAAAGCCTTGCAGCCGTGGAGTTTTTTGACCACCTTGGTGACTTCAGCCTGAGTGATAACCAAATTTGGCCCCACGCATCTCGTCTCTTCTTTCCCCATGGAAGGCATGTCAGCCAGATTATGGAGATCCTCCAAGTATTCCTTCCACCGTCCAACTCTTTACTTTGAGAACCAACCAAAAGTCGTTCACTATGGCCTCTAAAAACTCCTGTCCCAGTTTTTCCCTCTGCAACCGCCCAGGCAGTGGTATGGTTGGCCTCAACATACCTGCTTGCTGCCTCGGGGACTCACAAGTCATGCAAGCTTGAAAGGATTCCTTCTTCAGCTGCTGCTGAAGCTCCTCAACAGTGTAATTTGGAAACAGAACAGTCGTAGGAATTTCAGCATCCATTCTTTACTTGCTTTGTGTGTCAATTATTAAAGAAACCAAAGATAAATGAAATTGTGGTTTAGTGGCCCTTAATGGCTGTCTGTGAAGCTGTGGGTCTGGAGACACGTCAGTCTACATGGAAACACTTTAAGATGTGACGCACTCAGTGCCAGGTGGTAGAAACTGTTGCACCAAAGGGAACAGCAACAGTTCCAGGTTTGGGAAATATTTACCTTCTGCTTGAAGCTGGTTGGATCAGGATGGTTAATTTTAAACACGTTTTATTTCATTCGATCTGACATCAAAATTTGTATGCAGACCTGAAAAAGATGTAGATGTTAAAGAAAATAAATCTGTATGGTGGGAACTATTTCTGACAGGTTTGCAGAAGGTAAAAATCTACTTCTAAGATGGCTTCTCTCTGGTTTTAAACCCCCGTTTTCATTTTAGGACTAAAACAGCAGAGTGACTCAAATGGCCAAGAGAACGTAGCTTCCACTCAGCACACGACTCTGACCTTCAGTTACATGTGGATAAGAGCTCATCAATTTAATATTAATGCAGGAATAATCCTATTTAAGAACAGCAAACCTCTGAGCTTGGAGCCATGCCTGAAAAACCAATTAGATTAATTAAAAAGGTGGAAGAGGCTCTGTCCTGTGGGAGCTTTTTACATTTCACATCCATTTATCAGCAATTATGGGAATTTTTAATAAAATGTGAATAAAATTAAGCTCCTAGTTTGTATTACTAAATGAAGTAATTTACTAGGAAAGCCTAATAGAAATGATAATAACTGACTGAGTTAAGTTAGCTAGTTGTTTGTTGGTAAAGCCTCAGATGTATCTTTCAGTGATGTCATTAGTCCCTCATTCCTCATCACATCACCAAAATGACTAAATATTATAGTTCTTAAATTCTACATCACATCACTTGGTATTTAATGAAAAGGATCTAGTGTCACCCTTAAAAATCAGTAACTGGAAACGAGTAATTTTGTAGCAATATGCATGGAAACTTAGATAAAAGTGACCAGCTTTACAGATTTTGAGAGGATTTAATTTTAAAATTCCACAACAGACCTTGATGACCTTTGCTGAAAAGTATGTGGGGGTGTCCTACTGTCACGCTGAATTCAAATAAGTAACTGGAAATATTGGAGTTTCTTAGCAATGTTGACAGCAACTTAGATAAAAGCGAACAATTTTAGAGATTTCTGGGAAGCTTTAATTTTGAAATTTAACATCAGACTTGGGTTAACTCTGGTGAGAAGTATCTAGGTGTTCAATACTATGACCATGAAGTGAAATTAGTAACTGAAAAAAGGGGATTACTTAGCAATAGTCATGGAAAAATATATATAAAAATCGCAAATTCTATAGATTTTTGGGGCTTTAATTTTGAAATTCCAGATCAGACCTTGATGTAATCAAAGTTTTGGTTTGACAACAACAATTTTGCTTCTAAAAACAGAAAAATAAACTAAATACAGAGTTTTTTGTTTAGTTTTTTCTCCTTTTAGAAAAAGTTCAAATGTCATTTTGAAGTTATTTAGACAGCCCATTTGTAAACACCACACGTCTTCTCCCGCTTATTCCATCAGGGTCGTGGTTGGGCATATCTCAGCCTGCCTATGGCGAGAGGCGGGGTACATCCTTGACAGCGTTACCCAGTGTGTCGCAGGGCAACACAGAGACATACAAAGACAATTTAGAAATGCCAATCAAACTAAAAATCATGTTTCTGGGCTGTGGGAGGAAGATTGAGTACCCAGAGAGAATGCACGCATGCACAGGGAGAACATGCAAACTCTATGCAGAAAGACCCTGGGCAGGGAATCAAACTTTGCCCCATCAGTGAACTGTTAGAATAAGGGAAAATTATTGATTGATGATTGTTACCTACCAGCAAGCTGTAGAAGGTCTACTGGATTTAAAATTTTGTGATACCAAGACCTGCCTTACATTGCTTCTGACTGGTTTATATTGCATGGTGCTCTCTGTGGTTGGTTAGATTAAGCAAAAATGACTCATAGATTAGTCTGGGATCGGTTATATTAGGCAGTTAATCAGAGTTACTAAAAATATAGCAAGGTACTATGAGAATTAAATGAATACTGAATGGAAAAATATGTGAGAGAACTGTCATGTGTGGCGAGTGGTGTGAAAATGGGTCATGTAACCAGGTCAGGGTGGCCTGGTTACATGACTGACTGACATGACGGATTTCCTAAGATCTGTTTTGCTTTGTGAGGACCCAACTGAATAATCAAACAAGCTTTTATCAACCAAAAAGTAAGTTTTTATTATATATTTGAATTCACCTTTGACATTCAGCTTTGACACACATCAAACCAAGTATAGGAACAGACTGGATGTAGAGAACAGCCTGGGATCAGCTGTTTTTCACACTGAGCTATCAGAGCTCATCAAAGCAGCTCAAGTGTCTTGATGAAAACAAAGCAAAACGAATGAAGTCAGTCTGACTAATTTTTAATCAAGTTTAAATGTGAATATAGGGAAGCTCAATTTTATAAACACAAGTTTATAATATAATTTTATTTTGTATTTATTTCAATTCCTTACTAACTTCCAGACAACATATTTATGTTGTGTTTTTATTTGAGAAGGAAAGCATATATTTATTAAATTAAATGTTCAAAATAAAAGATTAAGTAAAATAGTCTTTATCTCAGTTATTGTACGTTCCACTTTTGGATAATAATCTGTACTTTTGACTGAGAGGGGGATTCATGGTACGAAAAATTGCCCAAAGGGAAACACAAGTCAAAACAGGTCGGGAAACACTGATGTAGAAGGACTTACTGTAATTTCTAAGGTTGGAATACAAGAACTTTACTGCTGTAATAAATCTGTTACTGTTCTGCATTTGGCTGCATCCTTTGGCTTCTGTCTCCTTGAACCCCAGTCGGCCTCGGCAGATGGCCGCTCACACTGAGCCTGGTTCTGCTGTAGGTTTCTGCCTGTTAAAAGGGAGTTTTTCCTCTCCACTGTCGCTACGAGCATGCTTAGTGTGAGGGATTGTATTTGAGTCAATAAGTCGATGCAATCAACTGGTTTTCCTTAGATAGAAAACTTTGTATCAATTTGACTGTATGATCTGGTTGAACTGGAAAGTGCCTTGAGATGACATGTGTTGTGAATTTGTTTCTTTGAATTTGTGAAATTTTTGTTTCTCTCCCTCTGCTGCCTTCCCTCTTCCTTTTTCTATGTTTTAAGACAGAGTCCATTGCTTCTTATCCTCACTTGCACCACTCGCTAGCTACACACACTGAAGCAGCCGGCACCAGACACACGTCCTTCACACTCTGCTGTCTGTGTTCCTGCTCAAATGCTACTGGCCAAAGGCCTGGTCAGTCCGTCTCAGTGACAGGCGTGCCACCGCTGCACCGGCAGACTTAAAACAAAAAGAGAGAGATGCAGGCCAGCAGGCCAATCCCAGGCCGTGGATTCGAGAATACTCCCGGTTCTCCCTATGGCCAGTCCGGGTATGTCTGTCAAGTTACCACAGGTCATACAAAGCTATTTGAGAGTGAAGCAATTGTAATCCAGTTTCAAGCTCATAAAAAGAGTGAGACCATATCTTGTTTCATATCAAAATGATAAGAATGTTAGTATAATCTAATATTGCCTAATTAGGAATAATCATCAAAGCCTCTGATAATTAGTCGCTTAAATAGGGTTTGGATGGTTAATTAAAATTTGTATTTGATTTCAAATTTTAAATAATTTGAAACCAATTTATATTTGAAATCAAATAAAGCATGTTCGAAAATTAGTGGATAGCGTGGACATTGAGCTTTAGAGTCACCTCCTTTGATAAGTTCTTTGGTGGTGTGAAACAGTTGTGTGTGAAATTATAAACTTTATATTGGAAGTCTTGACAGGCTACCTCCTGCCAAACTTATTAAAATAACACCCTTGGGACTTTTTAATCACTAAAAGCTAATAACTTAAATTGCTGGAATGGTTGTGTAAGAACAGGAGCTTCCATAAAAAAGCGGAAACAAATGTTTTCTGGCTTCAAATCATCCGACCCATTTGTTGCAACCCTATGAAGGCGGTTGCTAGCATGGTCAGCGAGTTCTTTTTGCCAAACCAGGTAGATCTCACAGCTCTAAAACAGGGTAATACTCAGTAGGTTTAGAGATCTATGAACCCAGGTTGGTTTTTGAACTAAGGCATGTGAGAAAGAGATGAGGCTCAGCTGTGACAACAACAAGACAAACAAATGAACAAAAAAGGAGAAAAAAAGGAAATATTACACCGTTTGGTTCTGGACTTTAAAAGCTGAAGTAAAGTAATGAAACTACTGCAGCTGGCTCTCAAACTGGTCAGGGTGTGAAAACCAGCCCTTGTTTCAGCAGACAAGATAGACCCTGTCAGGAGCCATTACGACCAACCCTACACCTCCTCAGCTATCAGGCTGCAGCAGAGGCTCGGTCATCATCATGTTATATTGGTAAGATAAAGAGAAAATATTCCATAAATGGATGGGGATGAAAAATTTGTCAGCTGTAATAAAGTCCAAACAAAGTCCACAGCCTGTTGAAACATGTGGAGTGTGAAGGTTCGGCTGATTGGTCGGTATGTGCATTCTGATTCGTAGTAACACAAATTAGATGTGTTTTGTGGAGCAGCTGATGTGATCTGTACATTTATCCCAGCAGCAAACCAGTCATTGAGAGAAACCTCTGGTCTAATCCAAGTAAAGCACCTCAGTGCTCCTCTGATGATATTCACAGACTGTTTGGTATGCTGTAGCTGATGTGGCAGAGTTTATTTGCACGTTAAACTGTCAATTCACTGAATAAAATGGCAAAAAAATAAATAAATAAAAATTGGACAAAGTTCTTGGTGTTTGAATGTAGTTTTTATCTCTGCTGAACACTCAGGTGATCTCACACACATAAAGTTCAGCTTGTTGTCATGCCTACAAAAACATTTTCCATTGGTGTGAAAGTCAAAACATTAAAGACTGTTTTGTTAAACACCAAGCTGTGTCCGCTCTAAGGAAATGTGTTCCTTTTCATGCCACTTTTTGTAAATTTTGTGTCTATAAGGATAAAAGGTGAAAATACAAACATCCAAAATCAGGAGCAATACATTCCTTCTGCAAGCAAAAATGTGCACATCCAAGATGCAGATGATAAAACATGCAGAAATGTAGCAGGTCACTTTGTTTAAATAAGAACTTAGCATTTGTTAGCTGCTGCGTTCATGGAGACTTCAGGCTCAGAGGCAAAGGTTTGGATCTAATCCTAATAATACTAGTAATAATATTAATAAAGGTAATTGAAATTATATTTTTTTACTTCTAACTTGTTCTTGCAATAGTGGGAGAGTACACCCCCTTCCTAATAAACCAATCTGACAGTACCGTCTGTGTAAAGTGCCTTGAGGTGACGTGCTGTGAATTGGTGCTTTATAAATAAACTGTTGTGTAATGGGTGTATAGATCTTCAGATTAATACATGAAGATATTGAGCTTATAAGTTTAATTTCTTTTACTTTTTTTCATAGAAAATAAAGAGTTTAATTGTGCTTCTCAAGTCTTTATAGCTGATATATGAATTAGCTATAAGGAATAAGTCTAAACGCATCTATAAACTATTAATAAGGTCTAAACTAGGGGTAACAGTGGACTTAATGTGGAAGCCCAGTGAGGTGTAGGTGAAGCCTGGATGTTTAAATTGTGTCTCCTGCTCAGGGTGAAAGGAAAAAAAATCCCACAATGGCATAGAGATTTTGATCGCTCACAGTGACATGCTCCTTTTAAGTCTATAAGAACAACCTCTGATTTAGTTTTCCATAAAGGCAAATTATTTAAACCTATTATTGTGCTTTCAGCATCTTTTCTTCTCAATGTTTTTTGGTCCTAACAGAACATGCTTGAGGCTAATCTGAGCCTTTATGGCTTCACATCAGATTTACAGGATCAGTAGGGTGTCGGTTGGACCTTATTACTGCTGCTTCATACGGTTCTCCTTTAGTTTTCCAGCAACTCTTCACAGCAAGAGCCTATTTTCTCCACAACAGAGTGTGATTATCACAAAGAAACCACTCCTATTGTTTTCTGAAGAATGCAGCGTCTTTCATAGTTATTCATCTTCTGAAGATTTCCATAGTTTGTTATGTTACAAAATAAAAGTTTAATGTATGTCCTGGGAGTTTTATTTGATGAACCAAACAAACTGGAGCATAATTGTGAAGCAATGCAAAACAATATATGTTTTTGCAGTAAGCTCCTTTTGACCTGAAATATAATTTATTGCAGCTATCTACTTTGAGCCTTGACTTAATTTGAATCTTCTTGGACAATTAATGAGTCCACTTTTTTGGATTTTAATCCATCTCAAGAGTTCTCAGAGATTTGTTAGATAACATTCAATGGACCTAGGAAGAAAGAATGATGAATTAGAAGTTTCTTAAAAGGCATTTAGAGGACACAGTAGACCTGTAGCAGAAAACACTGTGATTAGGATTTTATTTTGAAGGCATAGGAAAATAAGGATGCAGGGGTGGAAAATGTTTTAGACTGGGATGTTTAGCTACCAGTAGGACAGCAGCATTAACCAGGCAGCCAGAGCAGTGGCAGAATAAAGGCCTGATGGTTCTGAAATGGTGGAGAAAAGGTCTAGATCTACCAGAGAGCTCCTAAGGCCTCCCAAGCAAAGCTGGGGGAGGTTTGTGTGGAAACTGAAGTCTGTGATTCTGTGCTGAGACTGCTGCTTTCAACAACCAGTGAAAAATGACAAGTATCAGGATGTGTTGATACTTTAAAACCATGTCCTATAATTTCGCTCCCAATGCACTCTCATGCACTGATCTGTGTCGCTCTATGACATAAAATACTATTAAGAAAACCTGAAGAATAGCAGGAGCAACATAACAACAAGTGGGAATGTTTCACGTATAAATATGTTTGCAGTGTCCTCTGATTTAAAGCTTATGAAGATCAGTCTGTAAAGGTACACGATCTGATGTCGTTGTATCTTGACATCCAGTATATGTAATAGTGACCACTCCTGAATAAGAGGGAAGGAAAGATTTAGAAGAAGAGATATTTTCATACCAGACATCTTCTCTAGTTCAGCCAGAGTCTCCTGGTAAGAGTTGATGATTCCTCCATAACGCGTCACAACCTCCTTCCTTAGGTTGTCCCAGTGAGGAGACAGCTCCCCCAACTCTTCGAGATTCTGCAACCTATAAATGAAAAAACCATCAGGTCTTCATTGCATATAAACATGGAATCCTACTTAAACTCAACACACGCTGGCATGCTGACCTAATGTCAGATTAACCAACCACAGTACAGAAATGTTTCTGAAACCAGGCGATAATTATTTGAACTTGGGTTGAAGGACGGATTTAGATTTCACAAAAAAAAACAAAGATCCAAGCAGCTGCTGGAGGGAGATGACAGTCCGGCACCAATGGTGCTTCAGAGCCAGCTCTGCGGACATATACATCTCAGCTTGTGGTTCACACTTATCCACTCCACCCTGTCAAACTGCCTTTCATCCTACTTAATTCTTCTCCCATTATAAACTGTACAAAACAAACATGTTAACTGTTTACTGCAGCTTGTTTGTCTTTCATTAGAGCTGTGCCAGAATCACCTCTGCTCCTGCTGCAGAGAATAATTGCCACTATGCGCGGGTGGTGTACTTATTTTCACCCATGTTTATGGGTGCAGGGGCTGATTTCCAGCAGAAAGGACAGCCTTTCATTTGCATTTGAAAAGAGAATGAGATGGACAGATATCATTCAGCACTCCAGCAGTAAATTACAGAGGCGTAACAAGATGTTACTTTGCTATCCAGGAGAGCAATTAAACCATCAACTGCAACAACATCAGTATTTATATACAAATTTTTCTATAACTTAAAACCATTTTGTGCACAACTAAAGGTTTTATTGCCTGTTAGCTTTGTTAGCTTTCCGTAAATTCCCCCACTGTTAGGCAAATATTCTATTCTATTCTATTCCATTCTATTCTATTCTATTCTATTCTATTCCTCATGTGTTACGGATTATTAATCCATTCTCCTGCTCAAATCAGGTTCTCTGAAGGAGTACAACCTTTGTTGTTGTGATTCAACTCCTGCAGAAATTCAGATTGCCTCTGTAGATTATCTCTGCCTTTCTTTCTTTAACAATTTAGATTTCTTTGAAGACTTTCTTTGCAAGTTAAGGTGAGATAACAGTAATGCCTGAAGGGGAAAGTAAGAGATTGTCTCATAAAAAAAACAACCCTATTCAGCCTGTTGACAAAATCATGGTTTAAAGGGATTAACTGGAAGAAATCCTGTTTGCATCCCTCAATAAATAATCTTGATCTGCTTCCCTTCATGGGCTTTATGAGCTGCCCACCTGAGCTCCTGTCGTTTATCCACTTATAACCCCTGTTTCAGATAAATACTTCCTGCTCAAAAGCTTAAATCATTCATTATGGGAACTAAGACTGTTAAATTAGCTAGCTAGATATAATCGATAAAAAAAACCCCCATCAAATTATTTAAAGACACTCATTTAAGTATAAATCGTTACATGTTTGCCCAATCTGTTGCACTGTTATCAGTAGCAGAACATCAACAACAGAAGCTCCGCCCCTCATCGTCCTGCAGCTTCACTAGACCATAATAATACTGGAAGCTGTAAAGGCAGCTAAAATCTTGATTCCAACGAGCAAAAAATAAGTAAATCTTTTTATCAACAAGAAAAAAACAAAAGGACAAATAAAAAAGAAAAACAACAATGAAAGAAAAAAAAATTAATTTTGGGAAGTGCTACATGCTAAACTAACTCCAAATGCTGTTGTTTTGGCGCAACATAAAAAGGTCAGTAAATCTCTGATTTCAGTGAAACAGGAAACTTGAAACAAAACAAATAAGCCCTAATTACCTTGTTAAGTTATTTTAGACCCAAAAGATAAACATAAGCACAGACTATGGAGCTGGATGAAAGGTGTCAGCACAGAAGAAAAGCTACCCTACTGCACCAATATCAGAATCAGAATCAAGTTCATTGCCAAGTAGGTTTGCACTTACAAGGAATTTGACTTGGTGTTGATTGTGCAGACAAATTAGATATATATACGGAATACAGAATCTATAGCTATATATAATGTAAAACATACAATATACTGTATTTCAAAATATGAAAAATAACTTTTGTTAAAATAATTAATGTCTTTATTTCAACATGTCACCTCACTAGGGGAGGGAGCCTGAGCTTGTGCAGGAGGTGGAGCCATACTGGCTAGAAATAGTTGGGCTCTCTTACTCACATCCCCTGGGCTCTGGAACCCAAATCCTCCAGAAAGTTGGACTCTCTTCTACTCTGGAGTTACCCGGAGAGACTGAAGGCAGGGGTAGGTCTGATTGTGTTCCCCCCACCTCAGCCGTCTCTTATTGGAGTTTCCCCCAGTGGATTAAAGTGCCACATCTCTTTGCCTTCCGGTGAGGTCTTTAACTGTTGTTTCAGCCTATAGGTCCAATGGCCTTACAGAGTACCAGGCCTTCTTATTGGATAACTCCCCTCCCAGGGATTCCATCATTCTGCTAGGAGACTTCAACGCCCATGTCAGAAATCACAGTGACACTTGGAGGGGCATCACTGGGAGAAATGGACCTCCAACTCTGAACCTAAACGATGTTTAATTATTGGAATTTTCTGCAAGTCACTGATAATAATAATCATAATGAAGACCATGTTAAAGTATAAAGATGTCCATCGACGAAACTGGCCCCAGGACACCTCAGACTGAAGGTTGATAATCAACTTTTGTAAACAAATCTTCTGACCTACAGCCGCATGTCTTGTACACTCGGGTGAAGAGAGGAGTGGAGCGGTCCACTGATTACCACCTGGTGGTGAGGTGGATACACTGGAAGAGGAGAAAGGAAAATACTTGGCAGGCCCAAGCAAGTAGTGACAGCGTGCTGCAAATGTCTCATTGAGCAATTGGCCAGGGACGTGTTCAACTCCCACCTCCGGGAGTGCTTCTCCCAAATTCCGGGGGAGGCTGGAGACATGGAGTCTTGTTGGACTCCAGAAGCATCAAGAAGTTATGATGAAGACAATCATGTCGCTGCTCTGGCAGATGCTGAGGCAAAAACTTGGGCCTGGGAGGAATTTGGAGATGCCATAGAGAAAGACAGTGTCTCAAAGGGATTCTGGCAAATCGTCCAGTGCCTCCTGAGGGGGAAAATTGGTTTTCTAAGAGTGTTTTCAGTTAGGGTGGAGAGCTACTCTAAGGAATTTTTTTTTAAGGATCTCCTCAGTGTAACTGACAGGCCTTTGGTAATGAAAGAAAGACAGGGTGCTCAAGGCTGTTCAAAAGACTGCACAGTGGCAAGGTTTTGGGGGTTGATGAGATTTGCCCTGAGTAGCTTAGAACTCTGGATGTTGTCAAGCTGTCATGGCTGATATGCCTCTTCAATGCCACATGGAGGTCTGGTACAGTTCCCCTGGATGAGAGATCGGGTTGGTATTAACCCTTTATAAGAAAGGGGGATCGGAGGGTGTGTTGCATTTATAGGGGGATCATAATTCTCAGCCAGGGAGGAGAGTTGTGGAGGTCTATTGATGCCTGATTGGTGATGATAATGAAAAATCATCATCCTCTTTAAACTGACCAAGGTGTCCAAGCAGCTCAATCAAATTGAGTTTATGGAATATCCTTCCAAAGCCCCAAACACTGAAAATCATTCATCTGTTCTTTAAAAAAATGGGTCTGCACCAATAACTATTTGCATGAGCTCTGCTGAGAAGACTGATTACATATTCAGCTGAATGTATGGCAGCAGCCTTGTGCAACTTGGTGAGGCAGAGTGCATTTATATTGATATATATTTATATATGAGACATATTAATCCCTTTATTTTCCCACAATGGGGAAATTCGTTCTCTAAATTTTGACCTATCCCTTTGGGGAGCTTAGGGCTGCCATTGTGTGGCGCCTGGGGAGTGATCAGAGGAAGATAGCTGGATCTTGCTCAGAGACACAGAGTGGAGGTGCAAACGCACTGCTCTAACCCACTAGGCCAACACTCCCCTTTGTAGTTATGTAGATAGAGATAAAAGAAAAAGAAGACCAGAATTTTGTAATTATACCCAGCAACAGACTGGCGACCTGTCTTTGGTGAACCCTGCCTTTGGCCCTTAGACTGCCGGAGATAGGGATCTGCCCCACCATGACCCTGAAGGAAGCAGGAGAGGATAGCTGGATGGATGTCAGCCATAAATATAACATCCAAGATCAATAATTGATGTAACATAAAAAGATGAGATTATAATGCAAATGAATACTATAGTAGTTTTAAACATCAACAGCTTAAAAAAACAATGACAAAGGCCATTGAAGTATAAATATGCTTTAAGATGAGAGCGGCCCATGCTGCGTGAAAGCCAACGTGCTCTGCAGGTGGTTATGAGTGCCTTATGCTCACTGCGTTGGAATGAGCTCAGAATATTAAAGATTACAAAAAGCAAAGAGAGAAAATATCAGCAGCACATCCATTTGATTATGACTCATCTGGCAGATATTTGATATTTATATATAATTTACATGAAACAGTCTATGTTGTGAATGCTACCTGGAAAAGTTTGAAAAAGCAACACATAAAATCAATATTTATGTTAAACAAATGATCTAAATAGCATCTTCTTAAAACTAAATGAATCTAAATTAAGAAAATGTAAAAAAAAATTTGTAACATTAAATAAAGTGAAATCTTTCATGATTTCAGAACAAGAGCTCTCTTTCTTAACAGGAATGCAGCTGTGCTTTGATACCCAGTAGTTTCAATCAAACCTATTGTTTCCAGTGTTTCCATTTATAGTCTGAAGTAGCCTTAAATGCCATGGGGCCACTTTAAACAATCACAGGGACAACACACTCATGTTCTTTGATTTAAATAACAAGTTTCACTGAAGGAACACATATCAAAATGCACACCATTCAGACCACACATCCTGAATAATGATTCCCCTTTGTGGGCTTTTCAGATTTAAAGGATCGGGGATAAATTTCATGATTGCTTTTTAAATAATAAGTGCTTGGTAAAGCAATTGGATGGTTTGTTAAGACATTCTTTTAATCAGTGCCCCGCTGGCTGAAATGAGTATGACAGAGTTTTATAAAGAGGCATTTTATGAGGCATTCCTCCTTTCATTATTGCTCCCTTATTGGAGTTTCA